CCCCCCCCCCCCAAAGAGCTTCAGTGGGACAGCATCTACTTAGAATATTTATTTATCCTCTTACATGACAAAGACACAAAAAGTTACTTCTCAACTCTTCAAAAGAAAAAAAAATAGAATTCTGTAAGCAGCAGCAGCTTCCAAGGACAGGTGACGGGAGCGGTGGCTCTCCCAGGGCTAACCGTGAACTGGGTCCGGGCCTGAGCCCAGGTAGTGTCACTGAGGAGGGGGACACAGCACCACCACACAGGATCAGTCACCAACACGAGCACTCGGGCGGGCCGCCCGTTGCAGGGCACACCACCAAGGGGTCAAGGGGCGGGAGCCGAGCTTTCTGGAGTGTGATCAGGAGCCTGTGGGGCAACTGTGGAGCAGACGGCGCCCTGAGGGGTGGCCCCCAACCAGCACGGGGCAGGGGCCAAACCCGGGGGAGTGTCTCTGAGGAAGGGTCTGGCCTCGGTGCAGGAGGGGTCCATTGGAGCTGTAAACCCTGGACGGTCAGCAGAGAGCTGGGGACACACACACAGGCCGCTGAGGGCTGGGAGGCATGGCTCCACAGAGCAGGTACACGCATGCTCACACACACACACATACACGCTCGCTCATACACAGATCATGCATGCTCAGGACCCTCCGCTGGGGGTGGGAGCAGATGGGCCCACCACAAAGGCGCTAGGTCCCACAGTGGATAGGAAGGGGTTGTGCCTGAGAGCAGACCCTGTGACCTGTTCCCAGGCCCCTGGCAGCTGCAGACCCCAACCCTTCTTCAGGCCAGGAGCCCTGGGCCTCCCAGGGTGGCCATGGTAAGGGGCGGACAGACCCAGGACAGAGGGGTGGACAGTGTCGCTCAGCTCGGCAGGCTCAATAAATAGGTTTGTGCAGGGACTCCCTGTGGGCCAGGACTCAAGCCTGAGACCCGGAGCCGGGGGAGGGGTCCAGGGCCAGACCCCCAGCCCAGAGACCAGCTCTGCTCTGGGGGGGCCTGGCTGGGTGAGAGGGCAGCCCCCTCTGGTGAGGGGGCAGGGTGGCGGAGAGTCAGCTCCAGGAATGTACGGTCTGCATTTTCTACATAAATAAGACATTGATCCCACGGTCGCCCAGGCAGCTCCCCAGTGGGGGTAGCCCCAACCCACCCCATATGGAGCCCCGCCCTTCATAGGAGCCTCCCCTTGCTTAGTCCGGGGGTGGCCCGGCTCTCAGGCCTGGGGGCCCTGCAGTAGCCCCAGCAGGGACTCAGCGATGCCCAGGAAGTAGACCACCTGGGCGATGCCAAAGAGTGGGGCGATGACCAGGGCGCGGCAGTAGGCCCCCTTCAGGAAAGCCGAGGGACCCTCATGTTTCAGGATCTTCCTGCAGGGGGAGGGGCACAGATGCAGGTCAGGGCACGCCCCCTGCTGTCCCCCACCCCGCCCTACTCCTAGTCCCATCCCCACCGACCTGGCGCAGTCCAGGAACCCGGAATAGGTGTCCTCAATGACCCCTCGCTGAAGGGACTGCAGGCGTGTCTTCACCACTGCAGGGGGCGTGCAAGATCAGGGTGGGTGGCCCACATGCAACCCAGAGCCACCCACCCCGCCCGCCTGGGCGCCCAGCCAATCACTGACCGTCGCAGGGGTTGACGGCCACGGCGGCCGTGCTGCCGGCCACACAGCCAGCCAGGAAGGACACGTAGAAGGGCGACTTGTCGCAGGACGCAGGCTGGCCGAGCTGGTTCAGGTTGGCGAAGAGCGGGAAGTAGACAATAGAGAAGGGGACGTCCCTGCAGGAGGGCGGGGGCAGCAGTGACGACCAGGGGTGACCTGGCAGCCGCAGTGGCGGGCCTCCCTCGGCACTGCCCCTGGCCCTCCCACCTGAGCAGCGTGGCGCCCAGGCCCTTGTAGAGGCCAGCGATGCCGCGGCTCCGCAGCAGGTCCCGGGTCAGCTGGGTGGCCGTGGGCCGGGGCACTTCTGCAGGCTCTGCCCCGCCCTGCACAGGCAGCTGAGCCTGTGCAGCCAGGATCTTCCTCTGGGCAGCTGGGAAATGGACGGTGGGGATGGGCTTGCTGGGAGCGAGGGGCCTGAAGGTCCAGCCGCTGCCCCCCACGCAAGCGTCCACACCCCCCCAAAGTGCCCCGCCCCACCTATGCGGCCTGCATCCTGAAGCTGGATCTTCAGCATCTCCATGGGCGTGGTCACAATCACCTGACAGGTGCCCGCCCCACAGCCAGCCAGCATCTCCCTCAGCAGCGTCAGCTTCTGCCTGCAAGGGGCAGGGGCCACTGTGAGCATGCGGACCCCAGCCACGGGGGTGAGTCAGGCCCAGCCTGTCCCCTGCTATCTGGACACGGAGTGGGTGGATGGGACGCAGCCGCAGCCCTGGGCACCAAGCCACTGTGACAGATGGCCCGTGAGCAGAACCAGGAGCGGGCCAGTGAGTGAGCCATGCTGGTACAGAGAGATGAGGTGCTGGGATCTGCGCCCCAGAAAGGGCAGCCCCCAGGCAGGGTCATTGCTGGCCCATGATCACCGACGTTAGCCTGAATGGGACTGAGCCACTGGTGGCCCTGTGTTCGTGGGAGGTATGTGGCTGGGGATGGTGTGGGTAATGTCCAGTCGGGAGAGGAAACCTGGGGAAGGGGCTGTGTCTGACAGCGCTGGAGGTCCTGGTGGGGTCCTGCCTGCTGGGCTGACTCTGCCCTCCCATGTGCACTCAGCCCACCCAACCTTGCCCGAGCAGCCTGGCCCCTTACCCGTCCTTAGAGAACTGATGGCGGAAGAAGTCGTTGGCTGCCAGTTTGATGGCCTTCTCTGGGGTGACGAGGGTCAGGTTCACAGCAGCGCCTGTGGGCACAGGGGGTCAGGTGGGGCCCAGGGACACAGGTCATGGGACGCTGGCCTGGTCAGAGGGGGGAGGCTCTGTGCTAACTCATGCTTCTGGGCTGGCTCTGGGCCCTGCTGCTCCTTGGCGCCTCCCTCCTGCCCTCTCACCCACATTTGGGCCTGGTGTTTGCCAGGCAGGGGCAGGCACCAGGGCGGGGATGGGGGCAGCACTACCTCCTCCAGGGTTCTGCTCACCCTCCCCTACAGGACCCTCCCCTTCCAGACGCTTTGCCTCTCATGCCCCATGGGGCTTCCCGGGGGCACTGGGACCACTGCAGGGTATGCAGGTCAGTGGGAGGGGGCGCGGGGGTGGTTCCTGGAGCTGGGCACAGGGCCAGAGTTGGCAAATCCGATTGTATCCTAATCTGCTTTGCAGGCATGCCCATGCCCACCCTGCCACCCCAGGCTCCAGGGGCGCGCAGCACCATCTGCAGAGCCTCCATCATGCCAGGCGCTTGCTGCCAGGTGTGTGCGGAGGGGTGAGAACTGCCGCTGTGCAGACGCCCCAGATGCAGCCCTCCTGCCTCCACCAAGGGCTCCTCACCTCTGTACATGCCAAAATAGCCCTCAGATCGTATGGTCTTGATGAGGCAGTCTGACCTGCAGCCAAAGAGAGGTGGGGGAGCTTGAGCGGAGCCCGGGACCAGCGCTTTCCGGCCCTGCCCTCAGTCTCCCGGTTTATCACCGGCCCCTCTCACATGCTGGTGTACATGCGCTGCCCATTCTGCTGGTTCTGCAGTCTGGTTTTGGCCAGGTCGATGGGAAACACGCAGGTGACCCCGATCAGCCCGGCGATGCCGCCATTGATGAGCTTGGCTGGCAGGCTGGGGGCACAAGGGGTCAGAGATCAGCAGGGCGGGGTGATGGTGGGGTCGTTAAGGTACTGGGGGTGAGGGTGGTACTCACCTGATCTGCTTATCAGCCATTTAAGTGGAGGCCCAGGTAGGAGGCAGGTAGAGGCTGTGGGAGGAGGCAGGCCACGGGGAGGGGCTGTCCACCTGGCCAAGGGGATTTCAAGGGTCAGCCACACCTCAGGCCTGGAGGGCAGCAGTGAGGTAATTAGGGGGAGTCGTTGGCTGTGGGGCTGAAGCTCCCTGGCTCCAAGGTGGTACTCTGAGCAGTCCTGTGCACACACACACACACACACACACCAGCATCCAAGGCACACTCACACGTACACTCACGTGTATGAATGTGCTCAGGTTCTTAAAGAGCCAGGCGCCTGGGGCAAGGCTGTATCTGTGTGCAGCTAGGAGAGGCAACTGGCAGCCGCTCTTTCCTCACTCCTCATTAGCCCCAACCTGGTGCCAACTCAGGGCATAGCCCCCAAACACCCCTCCTCATGAAGAGGCACCCCAATCCCCAACACCTGGCCCAGGTCCCACCCTGCTCCCCTCTGCCCTCTCAGAAGTTTCACTCCCACACACACAGACGGACACCCCAGAAGCATCAGGAGGGTGGGCAGCTGTGCAGGACTGACTGACATGCTGAGACCCCCATGGGGGCTGGGACCCCATGCACTGTAGGGGGTGGAGGAGCTGGGATCTCCCACAGAGCAGGCTGGAAGCCACCTCCATTCCTGGTGCTCCTCACGGGGTTGCAGTTCAAGGCAGTGGGTGACCCGCAATCCTAGACCCCCCCACCTTTCCACCCCACCCCCCACACACCTGGCAGGCCAGCTGTCATCCACCGGCTGCTGCCCAGAGTCACCCGGACTGGCTCTCCTTCCCAGGGTCTCGTGACCTTCACCTCGGC